CCTCCCTCCCTCCCTCCCTCCCTCCCTCCCTCCCTCCCTCCCTCCCTCCCTCCCTCCCCTCCCCTCCCCTCCCCTCCCCTCCCTCCCTCCCTCCCTCCTCTCTGACTCCTTTCACCGTCTCACCTCCTTCATCTCCTTCATCTGTTCGCTTTCCGGCAGCAGCCGCAGCCCCTTCTCGATCGTCTCAAGGGCCTCCGGCAGCCTTCCCAGTCCCTCCAGCGCCTGCGCATGGCGGTAGAAGGCCTTGGGGTAGGAAGCGTCCACTGCCATCGCCGCCTCCGAGCTCACGCGAGCGTTCTCATAGTCCTTGAGCGCCAGGTAGGTGGCTGCAAGGTTGGTGGAGTACGTGGGATGATGGCCGACCAGCTCAATGGCAGCGCAGTAATGCATCAGGGCCAGCTGATACTTCCCAGCCTTGAAGGCGAGGTTGCCTTTGACCTTGCTGTCCTCCGCCTCCTTCCACTTGGAAGACCTTCCTTCCGCCTCCACCTTCTTACCCTTCCCCTCCTCCTCCACCTTCTTACCCTTCCCCTCCTCCTCTATCTTCTTACCCTTCCCCTCCTCCTCCACCTTCTTACCCTTCCCCTCCTCCTCTATCTTCTTACCCTTCCCCTCCTCTTTTTCTTTGCTGGTGTCTTCCTCGATGACTCTCTTGTTGCTCCTCCCTTCTTCCGCTGCCTTCCCACCCTTTCGTCCCTCCTCTGGCTTCACCCTCCTGGCCTCCTCGTTCGCTTGCTTGTCATCCTTTGTTTCGCTGCTTCTTGCTGTCTTTGCCACCTCCTGCTGAGCTGCTCTTTGCGAGCCTGAGCCTCCTCCTGCCGTGCAGCTCTTGGGATCCAGCAAGGGGATCTTGACGCCCTCGAGCTCAGGGCACAGTCGCTTACATCGCTGCAGGCAGTCCTTCACTCGCATGCCCAAGGCCGAGAGAGGAGCGCCGCTCGCGTACTCGATGCTCAACACTGTCCTTGCGTCCTCAGCAGCTCTCGCAAACTTCTCGAGCCCTTCGTAGGCGAGGCAGCGACGAGCCAGCGCCTTGAGGTTCTTCTCATCGTCCTCGAGCACAAGGCTGCAGTCCCTCACCACCTGCGAGTAGTCCCGCACCTGCATGCCACAAGCAGCTCTGTTGGACAGGCATACCAGCCGCTCCTCCTCGTACCCAATGTCCTCACTCAGGGTCACCAGCGCATCAGAATACAGTTGCATGGCGTCCTCGAACAGAGATCGCTTGAACTTTGAGTCTCCTTCCTCCTTCAGCTTCTTCGCTCGCTCTATCGTCTTAGCATCTCGTCCCGTGGGATCCCATAGTATTCTCTCCTTCTTCTCCTCCTTCTTGTCCTCAGAAGTCTTCATGGCTGCCTTTGTTTCCGTCTGCCCCACCTCCTCCGAATTTCTCTCAGCATTCACCTCGTTGGCTTCTAGTGGGGAACCTCCATGCTCGCGGTGACTATTGTGAGAGCTGTTAGAACCTCCCTCCTCGTCCTCCATCACTTCAGCATCATCCTCTGCCAACTTCCTGAGCATCTTCAACGAGTCTTCGGTACCAACATCCGCAGCTTCAACCTGGTCGTAGTCACCATCCTGCGAAGGTGAAGTTTCGTTGCGAGCATCGCTCTCCCTGACTGATCCTTCACCCCTCGAGCCTGACGAGACCGGCGCTGATTCGTCGTCGTCGTCGTCGTCGTCGTCGTCGTCGTCGTCGTCGTCCTCTACTTCAATAATCTTCACACGTGAGGAAGAATTCTTGGTCTCTTCCTGTCCAACTCTGTCCACGAAGACAAAGTCATCATCTTTGTCTTCGTCATCCTCATCTTCCTCAATGATCTGGATCTTGCTGCTCATTCCAACGGGATGCGACCTCCCCTCCATCTGCTTCTCGCTCCTCTTCTTCGCCATCAGCGAGTGAACATTCTTCAATTCATCTAGCGTCGTGCTCGCGTTGGGCTCAATCTTGAGAGCCTCCTCAAGGTCCTTCATCGCCTCCTCGAGCTTCCCTTGCTTACATCGCGCCACTCCTCTCCTGTGCCAGGCCTTCGCCCACCGCGAGTGGATCTCGATAGCATCCGAACAATCTTTCTCTGCCTGGAGAAAGTTGCGCTGCTCGATGTGTACGAGAGCTCGGTTAGACAGCACCAAGTGACTCAGCTCGTTGTCTCGCGGGAGGAGATCGAGTGATCGAGTATAGTGAACAAGAGCTTCCTGCAGCTTCTTCTCCTTGTACTTGTCGTTGCCCAAATCTTTCTCCTTCCTCGCTGCCTCCAGTTTCAGCAGCCGCTCCTCCGCCGCTTGCTTCAATCTCTTGGACTCCTCGTCCTGCGACAATTCTTGCTTGGGAACATCTACCGCATTCCTTTTGGCATTCTCCTTCTCCTTTACGGATTCTCTTGCTTTCTTCAGAGCTTGAAGATTCATCCCGTCGTCCTCGTCCTCGTCCTCGTCCTCGTCCTCGTCCTCATCAAGCTCCTGGATCTGAATCTTGCGACGAGGGGCTGCGTCGTACTTGCGCTTCTCCTCCTCTATGCGTTTCTTCTCCTCCTCTCGCTCCCTCTTGTCCTTGAGTCGGTACTCACAATCTCTCATCAAAACTTTTGCAGCCTGATTCTCCGGCTCCTGCTCCAGCAGAGCTCGAATATCGTCCATTGCAGCCTCATACTTGCCCTGCTTCTCCAGCGCTACCGCTCGCCTGTAACGCGCCTTGTGGTAACTCGGCTCGATCGACAGCGCCTTGTCACAGTCCAACTCAGCCTGATAAAAGCAGTTGGATGCAATGTAAGCTTGAGCACGATTTCCGAGCACGAGGTGGTCATCAGGGCAGAGCTCCAAGGACTTGGAGTAGAACCCGATGGCAGCATTGATTTCTCCGCACCGAAAACATTCGTTCCCCTTCTCCTTCTCTCGTTTGGAGGCCATCGCTGAAACATCGTGATCAGCAACAAGACGATCTTGACACATGCACAGACGTACATCTCTCCAGTTTGGTCATCTTCTCGATCTTGTAGGAGACATTGGAGTCATGCACCTCGGAAGGATCGGAGACATCGGCCGCTTTCTTCTTGAAAGTCCTGATTCAAGTGGGCAATCAGCAAGGTGCTGCAGTCTGAGAGCTCGCTCTACCTGAATTGCTCTTGCTGCTTCTCCTCCTCTTCAATCCTCTTCAGCTCTTCCTCAACCTGATGGAGAGGTCAACGAACTTCCCCCAAGCGGCCGTTTCAGTGACATACATCAAACTTGTCCCATTCTCGAAAGTAATCATAACTATAGTATTTCTGGTTTTTCTTCATTTTGTCCGCATTTTCGGCTTTTCTGTCAGGATGGTTCTCTTTCTGCTTCTCAACTTCACTGGGGCCCGATTGTATCATCTTCTTTTGCTTGCTGCTGTTCCGGATCGGAGGCAAGGCCTCCTCCTTCTTGGTGGTCTGCGTTTGTTTTCGCAGCTGAGAATCCTGGGATAAGTTCAAAATGTACCACTGAAGTTTCGAGACGATCTTCGGGTGTTACCTTCCTTGAGATCTCGTCGAGCCAATCGTCGATTTGTTGCTTCTCATCTTTCTGAAGAAGAGGATTAGAGCTGATCCAGAACAACAAATTCAAGTACGTCAGTAGATTGATCCTCGAAGATCTCCCCAACCTGAATTCAAACCATCAGCATCATACAAAATCACTGCCGGCATTCACCAGTTTCTTCCTTTTCTGTTCTTCTCTCTCCTTCTCTTGCTTTTCTGCCTGGCGATGTGGAATTAAAGATCCTCTGGATTAAGAAAGGAGCGCATAGAGTTCTTACCGCATCAAGCATGTCCTTCAATTCGAAAATCTCCTTTCCTGATCCCGGCTGTTGCAATTCGTGTGCCATGAAGTCCATTGGAGATGGCATTTTGGCTTGCTATAGAAAACCCTACCCAAGATTCATCAGGAGCAACAAAAGTGCTACTGCAAGACACAAAGCACTTGCAAAACCAAAATAGCTGGAAATGTGTTGAGTTTCTTACGAAGGCAATTGCAAAGAATGCAACAGGGTGATACGATAAGCTCAACGTAAGAGATTTCTACTTCATCCCTATGCAATTTGCGCGTGTGAGAGGTATTACCCCTACCGATCTAAATTGATGTGTTTCAAACTAACAGGTGAGACCTTTTCTCTGCATCATCGTAACATTTCTGACTCGCTGTCGTCTTTCAATCTTCTTCTTCATCAAGCTTTCTTGAGAATTCTGGCTCCTTTCCCGATCGTTCAATTCGAAATTCTATCTCTCATCATCATTCTTTCTTCCCATCGTCCTCTCCGCATCTGTCTCTTGCTCTTTGTCTCAACTATGTCCTCTTCTCTGCGTCCTTCTGCTTGCATATCCTCCGCTCCTCCTCCACTCTTCCCCCCCGGCTCCTCCTCCCTCACGCCTATTTTTTTCGCGCCATCATGTCCGTTTATGTGCGTTGAGACCACATCCCCGCTATAACCCAAGGATTCCTAGTAGCCCCTGAGTAGGGGTCCTTTAGTACGAAAATATGGTTAGAACAGGGTAGGGTACTGAATTTTCCAGGGTTGGCCCGATCCATCCAAAGCCCATGGACCCTACCGTAATTCCATGTGGCCATGAAAACTCCAGTTTAATAGGGGGTAGGGGATAAAATTTTGTCCGCGAATGTTCACAAGGCCTGCAACGACCCCTGTTATCAATGCTGATTGCGAGGGTGTGTTGACCAGAATGTTTGTTGAGAGCAGGTGGGGGTACTTCTTGCCGGGGTGTATGTGGCACCTTCATATGGACTAAGAAAAGGGTAGGGGTGGGGCAGCCATAGGCACTTGCACCACAGGGTGGGTAGTCAGAAAGCTCAAGATGGGGTGATTAAAAGGTAGAATGTGGGGGTGGGATGGTTCAATGGGGGTGGGGGCCCCGGTGGGGGTGGGGTGGATCTCTCCAAACATGAGGAGCAATGGCAATGAAGCTTTTACACGAAGGGCAGTAGACGAAAGAAGAGGAGGAAGAGGAAGGTGAGAGGAAGAGAGGAAGAGAGCAGCGAAAGATTGACGAGGGGGGATGAGCAGATCGATGTTTCTACCATGGTAACATGATAAGAGGAAAAGGTTGTATGCCACCCTTCGATAATAATCGAGTTGCAAGTGTGAAAATCTAGGAAAGCTGCAGGTTTGAAAGGAGATTGAGCTCCAGAAAAATTCGTCAAGATCTATAACTTGTATCCGAACTCAGTACTTAACATCTAGTGGATGATGTCAGCATTGAGCGTGCTCGTTGCCGTTGGTGAGCTTCATGGTACGGAGTCTGCAATTAACAGCCCATGGCGAGCATACGAACGATCTGACAAGTGGCATGGGGTCCGTTGTTCTGACTGGTGCGTATCAAGATGTCCGTCAAGCTCGAGCGAAGGTGGAGCTCTGAGAATGAGCGAGAAATGGAAGAGGAGGGTAAGCGCAAGGGGATCCGCGTAGTCTTTTGACGAGTCGCTGCCCCCAGTGGATGAGGATCGCAATCGCTCGCACGGGCACGAGAAGCTGCTCGTGGAAGACTCGATGGATGAAGAGGAGATGTAAGCTCTGACGTGAGTTCCTGCCAGCACGCCCGTGATGAGGACCAACAGGAATCGGAGGATCAGCCGGTGGGATTGCATGCACAGGGCGTGGAGGAGAGATCCCCTCCTGTTCTACACAGTATGTGGTGATGGCAAGGTGTTGTGTTGGTATCTGGGTTGTTAAACATTCTCCTCTGCAGGAGTTCTTTGCGGGATAGTCCTGGGGATCATCTTGACTTCCAGTCTCCCACCTGGTACAGGAAAGGACTCGGTGAGCTCTGACAACCCTTCCTTGATCGCATGCTAATGTTCTGGTACACAGCCGAGATACATTGTGACGAAGTTAGGTGAAACATGATCAGCTGTCGTTGTTGCAAGGTTCCTGATCGTATGTCACAAGTGGGCTTTCCTGGAAGAGCTTTCTTGAATCTCCTGAAGATGATGGTGACTGGGGAGAAAGGAGGTTTTCTGATTTCTGAGCTCGTGGCTCCCTTTGACAGGTTCTACCACTGATATCTGGAAGCATGATTGCTGGTGTCTGTGCCTTGAAGGAGGTGATCTCAACCTTTCTCGCGCTGTGACTCCTGACGGTCGTTGTTCCAAGGCCGGGTCCTCAACCAAGCGACTGGCCAAGTAGACAGGGACGCGTAGGTTGTTCGTCGTCGCTGACATGATATCAGAATTGCAATCTCCTTCATGGCTGGAACTACCTTTCTTGCGGTGGAGGATGTTGAGATCAAACTTCAAGCGATGATGATGACTTCCAGGTCATTGTCGGTCTTGTCGTCGTAGTAACGGTACAGCCCGGTTCAGGTGAGAGAAATTGTGGAAATTGGTAGTGGAGGTCGGTGCAGTAGATGTGTTCTTCAGGCGGATCTGTCACAAAGTTTCATCTTTGACAACGTTATCATGAGATGAATTTGACTGTTCTGCTCATCAGCCGTGTCGACCTGGACCAACACAACGACGAGGTTGAATTTTTCCGCTACTGAGAGATAATGCTGAAAATTTGATGAAGCTCCAAGAATGGGTCTAACGCGGGCATGCTCGACACTATTCTAGGTTCTGTCCTGTCATGCGTGATGGTCGGGAGCAAGTAGGATTGACAACCGTTGATGCAGATGTCTTCTTAAAGATGTGTCCGCCCAACATCGTTGAGGCAGCGGCGAACATGTCGGGAGTACTTTGAACTCTGTCAACAGCATCTGAGTGGCAGAGTAGGAATATCCTAGGCGTGCTTGTCTTCTCGGTCTTCTTTGGCATAATGTTGTCAAGATTGGACTCCAGTGAAACGGTGAGAACTGCAGTAGTAGGAAACGACATGACAACGAGCGTTCCAGGCTTCTATGATCCATCTTATTACCATCTTCAACCATGTGGTGATGAAGATGGTGGAAGCAATCCTTTGGCTTTCACCCCTGGGCATCTGCTGCCTGATATCATCACAAATGTGCGAGTCTGACGACTTGGGAAACAAGTTCCGGGTAACTGTTTGCTACCGTCTCGATCTCCCACTGCCATTGACTTGCCTGGCAGTCACTGGTGATGTACATTTTCGCAGTCACCATAGCGCTGGGCATCCATGGCCTCATCTTGCTACCAGGTGGAGAAATTTCTTTTCATGACTCATCGTTGCTCGTTTGTCTTTCGGCTGACATCTTTTCAGCCATCTTCTGGTTCAATACCAAGACCAACCCGTGGACCTTCACAAAGGGTGGGAACTACAATACCTGACACTCTCGCTGTGCTGAGCAGCTGCAGGGCTCTTGCCTGCCCTGGCAACTGCCTTCGGGACTGACTCGTCCTCGGCCACTCTGTACTGACCGGTCCTGACTGAAGAAGGTAGCTGACTGTATGCAAGGCCCGTCACTATCCTTTGCTGCGAGAGGAACGGCGTCTCCCCGCAGGTTCAAGTTCTCGCTGGCCCTTGTTGACGGGGAGTCTGAGAGAACTTTTCAAGATCTGCAAGTTTGTTCTCCCGCTCGGGGCGACGGTCAACATGAATGGTTTGACTACCATCCCTCCCTCCTTGTTGTCATGAAGTGGCAGGAACGGCGCTCTACGAGGCCCTCACCGTCATCTTCATCGCCCAGGTAGCGTTACCTGAGCCGCGTGCCTTGCAAGCCCTCACGACTTGTCCAGCTGCACCAGGTCCCCTTGTCAGCTGGGCACATGATCGGTAACCTCCGCTCCCCCCCCCAAAAACTCCTGTGACCTGAGAACTCACTTTGACACCCTGTCAAGTCATCGCTGCAACTTCTACCCTAGCAGCCGTCGGAGCTGCTGCGATCCCGTCAGCTGGGCTCGTGACCATGGTGAGCCCAGCTGGACTCCGCCCCTGTGCCGCTGACAGTCATCGATCAGGTCATGGTCCTGCAGGCTGCCGGCCTGGACGAGTACACTGGAGATCTCTCCCTGTAAATCCGCCTCCTCATCCCACTCCTCGTCCTCTTCCTACTCCTCTACTCCTCCTCTCCTTCCCTCCTCTCGCTCCGAAGAATCTCGCCAAACCTTCACACTCCTCAAGCTGCTCGCCTCGTTTCTCCCCTTCTCCTTCCTCCACTCAGTGTCCCCCTGCAGGATCTTCACGGTCGACTGGGCGTTGGATCGACTCAGAACGACGGTCCTTGTGCTCGCTCTCTGGTCCTCGTCTGACAACCGTCCTGACCTCCAGGTCAACGTGCTGGGAGACGCCTACTGCGCGGGAGTTACCCAGCACTTCACCAGCTCGGAGACGGAGGAGGTGAGCGTCAAGATTCGCCGCAGACTTAGTTGCTGCTGACTGCTGACTTGCTGCTGGCAGTCGGTGTGAGGAGGAGGAGGGGGGAGGGATGGAGGGGGCGGGTGTTGTACAGTGAGATTCGAGATGAAATAAAGAGATTGCCCAGCTCCTCCTGCCCTTCGAGGTCCTGCCGGGCTGATTGTAGGAGGCAAATGGGCGGGGAGAATGAGGAGCAGAAATATGAAGGAGGAAGGGAGCGAAGTTCAGGTGCTGACGCAACTGGGCCTGGTAACTCTAGTCTGGCTAGGCGAGTCAGGCAGGTGAAGTAGAAGGATGCAGTGCCAGGGGAGGAGGAAGGGAGATTTGGCCCAGCGAAGAGCAGGATAGCAAGGCGAAAAGGAGGAGGAGGAGGAGGAGCAGCAGCAGCACCAGCACCAGCACCAGCACCAGCAGCACCAGCAGCACCAGCAGCAGGATGTGGTACGAAAGACTTGAGTTGCTCTTCTCCACCTGATTCCCAGCGCCTTTGAACTCATACCCCTCATATCCCATTTTGCACCCTACCCTTCAATTCGATTGAAAAGGCGGAGAAAAGACCGGTCCGTTGTGCTACCACGCTCCTTCGGATCCCGTGGCATGCCCAAGAAACAGTTCGATGGCTTCGCAGTGGGCGGACATGACCAGGGCGTGAAGCCCGATGGGGAGGTGAGAGGAGGAGGAGGAGGAGAGTGAGAGAGGGTGCGACTGATGGGAGGGAAGGGGGGGGGGGGGGGACTGCGGAGGTAGCTAGAAGCCAGTCGGAGCAAGTCGTCGGAGTGTCAGGAGGTTTCGGGGGGTATGTGCTGGAAGAGGGAGATGCGGAACGAAAGCGAAAAGGAAGGTGGCATACAGTGATAGCCTTGGGCGAGGAAGAAGAGAAGTGTGTGAGAGATTGACTGGTGAAGGGATCCCGGTGAAAGAATCTTGTTGTCCACTTGTTGTCGGGGACATTAGATGGTGCGAAGAAGGGTGGAATGGAGGGACCTGAAGCCTTTCAGAAGGGTATTCAAAACTGTTAGTAACATGCTCCATGCTGCTCGAAGGTTGTCTTGAAGATTGTGCAGTCCGGTGCTCGTGGCAGGAAAGAAATCGATTTCCTCAAGGTTCTCCTCTCCTCTCTTTGCTAGCAAGCGCCAACACGCTGATTTTGCCGTGGCATGTGTAATGCTTGCCCTCAGGATGCTGTCAATCATCCCTTCCTCTCTCGCTTCGTTCCGAAATTTCACGGGCAAGACGCATTCCTCCGTTGGCATGTGCAGTGACGTGGCGATCAGAACGCGCACGATTGTAGACGATAAATCCGGAGAGAAGCAAGAATGGATCGTGATGGAGAACGCGATCAAGGGGCTTGCGAAACCAGCGATCGCTGTGCGTGTGTTCATGTCCTGCTGCTCCAAGTCTCTCACCCTGCATGCAGGATGTCAAGATAGGAACAAGAACCTACGGGGTGGAGGCGTCGCCAGCCAAGATTGACGAGCAGACGCAGAAGGCGATGGAGGTTTCAGCCGAGTGATCGAGAGCGCCGGTGACGTTAGAGGGCAGAGCACACAAGGATCGATAGGAGCGAGGGTCATCGGAGCCCACATGCTCAACGAGAGGTATCAGGCTTCAACTTCCTCAATGACGATGATAAGAAGGAATATTGCCAGCGGCGATGATTTCATACAAGCTGGGTACAAATACAGCAAAGATGAGCCCAAGACTTTGGTGTTTGCTCCTTCTCTCTTGCATACATGCAACTGATGTTCGGATGCTGGTGTACTCCAGCAAGATTTCAGCGACCTCCTCCTCCGATTCTTGTCCACGGACTCTTTACGTCAAGAGGTACACTCCCTCCTTTCTCCTCCATGGACTCACTTGCGTGCGTCAGGCTGAGCGATACTTCCTGGAGCTGTATGATTGGTTTTCCTCGCAGACAGAATTTGAGTATGTGATCCCCCTCTGCACGATGACGATGACGATGACGATGATGATGATGATGATGATGATGATGATGATGACGATGATGATGAAAGCTGACTCTACAGAACCGTGCAGATTTTACGGATCTTCGCTGCTTCTCTCCTTCGATACGCAAGTAAGTCATGCTCTTTCTCCCTCAACAATCTTGAGGAGGCGGGTCATATGGTGCATCAGGATGGGGGGAGACAAGGTCTGGTTTGCAAACTGATCGACTTTGGGAATGTGGTGAAGAGAGCTGTTGTATCCCAGTCTGCACTCTGAGCAGACTTTTGTAAGAACTGCAAGGGAACATGTGGAGGAGGGTTGGATGAGAGCTTTCTGACGGGTGAAACCACTTGCTGTTCGCTCGCAAGCATGAACGGGTCGAGTAGGGCTGCGAGCCCTCCTGCTATCAATGAGGAGGATGTGATGCTGCTGCTGCTGTTTTCTTAGCGTGCCTGATAAGATGCTGCTGGGCAGTCCGAGGATTGCCATCGCCACGCTGAGTCAGACGCCTGAGGAGATTCCTAGGATGTTCTTGGAGAAGCTGTCAGAAGGGTGGAGAAGCAGAGGGCGTTTGTTCCTCACGTGATGTGCAGGAGAAGAAAAGGGCTCGGCGCTATCCTCTTTCTCTCCCACCAACAGCAAGAGGTGTCTTTGAGCAGAGGAGCGACAGTGGCGTGTCCTGACTTGCAGCAGCAGCACACGGGCAGCTTGTCACAGCAAGGCAAGAAACGATGCTTGCTGATCAAGCAGAAGCTTCGCTTCCTCCCTCGCGTGACCCTCGTCTTGTCATCTCCGCGAGGTGCGAGAAATCCAGCTCTAGCTCCCATCCGCTTCAGATGGGTCCTCCTCCTCCTCCTCCTCCTCGACCTCGACCTCCTCGACCTCCTCCTCCTCTTTCCGCCTACCCCCCTCGATCTCCTCCTCCTCCTCCTCCTCATCATCATCATCATCAACTCTGTCCTCCTCCTCCTCCTCCTCCTCCACTCTGTCCTCCTCCTCCTCCTCCTCCTCCTCCTCCCCTCTCTCCTCGTTTCTAGTATCATTGTATTTTGCACATCCCACAGCCTCCCTGCCATGCTCTCACGCAGGAGCAGGGATATGTCAAGAAACAGCAGACTGGATCTTGGGCCCTCACGTGCAGCATGTAACACAGTCACTTTGTCGCTAGCAGCTCACTCTCCTTCAGGTCCTGGAGGGGATGCAGTGGTGTAGCCCACAGGAGCAGGAGGACTGGGAGGAGGAGGCAACCTACGAGAAGCAGAGGGAGCTGCTGAGTGGAGCTGGAGACGTGGAGGAGAGGACCAACAGGGTGGTGATGGAGATGGTGAAAGTAGCTGATTGCTGCTCGTGCCTGCCGCTGACACACTGACAGGCTGAGGCCATGGAGAGACAGGAGGCGCCTCCTTGGAAGGAGGCTGATGAAGCTGAAGGAGAGCGAAAGTGTGCAGTTCTTGTCGGCGACAACTTACTGACATCCGTGAGACTCTATTCCTCCTCCTCCTTCTCCTTCTCGCCCTGTCCTCCTCCTCCTCCTCCTCCTCCTCCTCCTCCTCCTCCTCCTCCTCCTCCTCCTCCTCCTCCTCCTCGCCCTGTCCTCCTCCTCCTCCTCCTCTCCTCTCCTCCTCTCCTCTCCTCCTTCCTTCATTCCTTCCTTCCTTCCTTCCTTCTCCACTCTGTCCTCCTCCTCCTCCTCCTCCTCCTCACTGTCGCGCTCTTCAGGCGACCGCCATCCGTGTTGCCAAAATTTTTGGGCACCAGAACGCGAGCAGCGTGCTGGGAAAGAGATCTCTGTATCAGGTACGTGAGCTCCTGACAAGCGACGTTGATGCTTCTGACTGTAGTTGTACAACTAGGAGGAAGGCTTCCTAGTGAGTATGGACAGTTTGGAGCTTCTTTCCCAGCTAGGCGCTTCCTGATCCTCAAGCTATTCCTTCCCCACCGGGCCCCACTGGGCGTTAACTGGACAAGATTACTGTAGTGCTAATGTAGCTCGTCTAGACTCACAACAGGCTTTGACCGTCGGACCGCCGCCGTCTGAGTCCCGGGCCGGGCAGTGACTGCTGCGGCGATCGGACGCCGAATCGGTCACCTCAGTCAGTCCCCGCGCCGGGTCACTGTCAGCCTGTGCCCGGCGGGCCACTCGGGTGAGCCAGTGACTCAGTGACTCGCCGGCCGATCACCCGGTCTGAGGCCAGTCACCGCGGGCGGCGGCCCGGGCCGGCCGGCGGCCCGACCCTGCCGCAGTGCCGCTCAGCCCACTTGTAAAAGAGAACCGTTGTAACGGTTAGCGAACGTGGAGGCCGAGTAATGGTGTCAGAGCGAGACGGGGGGAGGTGGAGGAGCGCGCGCGCCTTGGCGCTGTTAGGGATGCTGATGCTCCTCACAACTGTATATGGAGATAAAGGCATGAATGTCGTCGAGGAGGAGGTGAGCCAGGAGCAAATCCAGTACTTCAAGGAGATCTTCATGCAGTACGATGAGAATATGGACGGGCTTATTTCCATGGAGGAGAACTTGAAGCAAGACAAGGTCATTGCAGATGAGCAGGGGAAAGATTTTGATGAGGTGATATCATGTTTTTACATGTTGTTCACGCTCTCGTTATGTTGAGCTGACATGCTGGCAGGCCCAGTCGCGCAATTCATTTGAGCGGGCAGACCTTGACAAAGATGGCTTTGTTTCCTTGGAGGAAATGACTGCTCCTCGCTCCCCAGAAGAACAATGCCAGCAGTTGTACGGCGAGTTTGCTGAGTATGACGGCGTCAGGAGCTGTAAATGCGTCAAGGGATATACAGCCGATGTGAACGGCACCTGCATCGTGGGAAACAACGAAGTATGTGCTAGTCAGTTTGGACCCTCCGCCGAGTTTGACGGCATCAACAACTGCCAGTGTAAGAAAGGTTTCATACCAGATGCAAGCGGTAAATGTATCACCGGCGGAAACTCGACCTGTCAGGGAATGTATGGCCCACTGGCTATGTATGAACCCGTCAACAACACGTGCACATGTCAGACAGGATCAGTTCCTGATAGCAACGGAACGTGTGTAGAAGCAAACGATACAGTCTGCCAACAGTGGTTTGGACCGAACACAGCCTTCAACGGGCAAAATAGCTGTGTCTGCAAGAAAGGGTTTGTTTATGCTGATGGAGAGTGCTTCAGGGGTAGCAACAAGGTAGTCATATCGTTCATCTTGACTATCATCGTCTCTGACAAGCTTTATAGATCTGTGGCTCTATCATAGCCGGGTCAAGATTTGATGGTAACAATGAGTGCGTGTGCAGGAAAGGATACGAAATCGACCCAAAGCGTGCTATCTGTATCAAGGTTAAGACGGAGTCAGGGCAGGACCCGGTGAAGCCCCCTCCCAAGCAGGGAACCATCTCTATCACTCTGGTAGAAGCAAAGCATTTGCCGAAGATGGATCTGCACACAAAATGCGATCCCTTCGTGATCGTGAAGCTTGGGGATACTTCAAAGAAGTCAAAAGTGATCAAGAAGACCTACAACCCTAAGTGGGATCAGTCATTTGTGCTCACTTACAACGAGACTCAGACGACGCCAACTAATCTGATTGTAATATCCCATGGAAGGGACAGCAATCATGATACTGACTTCACTCCTCGCAGGTCGAAGTGTGGGACTGGGACAGAGTAGGGAAGGGAGAGTTTGTTGGGAAAGTTGAATTATTGTTGAGGTAAGGCCGAAAATCGTCTGACATTTCCATTGCTTAAATCACTGTCTACAGCGATTTGATGGAAGAAGAAGTCTCCGGACTGGTTGACTTGCGGAATGAGGACGGAGCTTTGGTGAGGGGGCAAGACCGGAAAATCTCTGCCATACACTTGCAGGTTTCTATGACCGATAAGCTCCCATATGTTCCCTTCTGGGAGCCTCTGCTGGAAGAGAAACCAGAATGGGTTCTGCTCTATGTTCGAGCCTTTGCTGCTCTTTGGTCGTTGCTGGGAATCGTCTTGTGGACTTGCCTCCGTCCCAGGAGTGCAGAGCTCAAGCCGAAGGTCGAATAAGGTTCTGTTACAAGTAAAGAAGAAGACAACATCTAAGAGTTTCGTTCGGAAGGGTAGAAGCTTCTTCCATTCCAGTAGAAGCTTCTTCCATTTGTTGTTTTCGGCATTAGTTTTGTTTCACGCAACATGAGAAACTTAGAAGGGAAGGAAACCCCTCCTTTTCAGGGCTCTGATCTTTTGTTTGACTTCTTGCTTCTGCTTGTCAAGAGGAATTCCCGTCCATTTCTGCGTTCATCCCATAAGTATTCTATCATCGCACGCTGCGCAAACTTACCTCTGACTCTCGCAGGCTCTCCAACTCCTTCCTCAGGTACAACAAATCCGCAGATTCATGCGTAGACTGGATCTTGCCTGGAACGGCCTTCATCTCAAACTCTTTTTCTAGTTGGGTGCTGTTGATTTGCTGCAGCACAGATCAACCAACAGGCCGTAGGCTTGCGCAGTTCCCGTTCACCTCGAGGATAGCGTTGGGGTCCTCCGTACTTGATCCCTTGGTCCGCCTGTCATAGTCCAAATACTTCGATTTGAGTCCCTGCTGGAGGCCGAAGGAGCCCAAGACCATGAAAGAGAAGAAAGGGAGTCCGACCTGAAGTAAGCAACGTGTGTCATCATGCGCAGCAGCGACACTTGGCAGGGTCAAACCTTAAAGAAATGGTTTGAAAACTTCATCCCTGTCGAGCTAGAAGCAGAGACGGTGGATCTATGAGGTGACCTGCCTACTTCTCGCTCTCCTCCCTCCTCAGCTGGTCGTTCGTGTTACCTTGCTCCCCCTCCACTGCTGTCCTTAAAAATTCACCCTCCTTTGTCAGCCTCCTTGTGCCGCATCCCCTCAGTGCCCACTTCAACTGACGCCGTACGGTCCGGCCTGACGTCCGGCGAGCCCGGCCGCTTGTCAGTGTCCCGAGTCCGGGCCGGGCGAGCCTCAGGACTCGGCTGAGCGGCCCCGCCACCGCGCGGCCGGGGGCCCGGGGGGCCGCGGTGGCCGTCCGACTCCGAGACACTCCGAGGCCCAGGCGGGCCCGGGGCGGAGGATCGGCTCGGACTGGGCCGGACCTTTTTGCTCAAAAGTAAGTCAAAAATCAGTACCACTGAGGACCGTGTCACGCACTGGCAGGCCAAACGGCGAGAAGAGCAAAGCTCCTGATTGTCCTACTAGGCTACGGTACTGATCAAGTTGTAATTTAACTTTGAAGCAAAGACAGCGAGAATCAAACCCAATCCTGGCCAACTGCTGTACCCCAAACTTAACTCAGTGATACCTTCGAGTCAGTGGACTCCGGCGGACCAGGCCGTTCCCGGCCCCGGGCGGACGGCGAGACCGTCGTTTATTGAAACTCGGAACGGTAGCAGCAACCTTGCAAAAATGAGACATACCCCTCATTATGACTGAAAGAGCCCCGTACACTACATCCAGGGGTGGGGGACCCCCCTTTTCTACCAAAGAGGACACATGAAATTGAGGGGTAGGGTGCTGCGGTGACGGTTCGGGATGCCGTCGCTGAAGGATCGGGTGAAGGCGACGCGGCATCGAACAGAAGACGACGATGACGATGGTGTCTCAGCTCTACTTGCGGTACCTCTCACACTATCTGCTCCTCCCTCAGTTGCCTCGATGTTTGTTGGCCACAACCATGCTCTCTTGACTCGATACCACAAGTTGTTGCTGCTGTTGTAGCTGCTGTGCACTGCGAGTCAAATAGATCATATTTTTCTACCTGCTGCCACACAACATCAATTCTCTCTTCTGTATGATCGTGTAATTACTGCACTGATTGAATGGAATCGTCCATGACATGTTGTCGTGATCTATTTATTTCACTTGGATTGACTATTCATAAATCTTCCATAGCATATCGCAACCCTGTTGATCGTGTCAGAACTTGATCATGTAACAACAGGCTTCCCTTGGTCCCCCCGCTCAGTGTGTCGTTTTCAACATTCCGGATGAAGACGAGACTCCTCCGGAAGAGCAGGCATACTACAAGCAGAAGAGAGAATGGGTGATAGGAAAGCTGCGGGCCTTGAATTTAAACGTCGATCAATTTGTGAACAAATCCAACACGCTACTGTTTGTTAAGATCAGCGCACCAGATACAGTTTTGAGGTATGAGGCAGAGGAGCGACGAATTCGGTTGCGGCTGAAAGAGGTCTATGGAGGGGCACTTTGCGCATACTCGAGAGAGATCGAGAGCAAGCAAGCGTTCGACAAGCCGCTTGACGGCTTCGAGTTGTTCTGCAGCGCACAGCAGCTGAAGATCATGACGAGGTTTGTCACAGTGAGCCGTATGGCGTTGACGACCCGTTCGAAGCCGCGCAGAACCAGATCTCCTTTGCTAAGCTGCAGCAGGAAGATCCGGTTCCCGGCCTGCCGATCGTCGCCGCCTATTTTCCTTTGCATCATGATCGAATGAGGCTGCGGCTTCTGAATGAATGGGCGCGAGCTTTAATCAAACCCCAGCCCCTCGAGTTGGTCCGCGAATATTTCGGTGAAAAGCTTGCTCTATTCTTCACATGGATGGGATATTACTGCACTATGCTGTGGATACCAGCTCTGATTGGCCTGTACATAACTATTCAAGACTACAACTTCTACAGAGATTCATTGCATCTGAGCAATCCGTACAATGTCGTTTTTGCAGTCGTGATCGCAATTTGGTCCAACATGTTCTCACAGCTCTGGAAGAACCTTGAAAGCTCGCTCAAGTATAAGTGGGATACTCTGGATTTCGAAAATCTTGAAGAAATCAGGAAGGAATTCAAAGAGAATGACAACACAGAGAAGGATACACACGTCAATGAGATCACAGATGAGGTTGACGACTTTTATTACGATGAAGGCACGTATTTCCCTCCAACAGGTCGAGCAAGGGATCAGCTGGTTACTTTCACAGTCATCGTGATTTTCAATCTGATCGCAGTCATCCTGTTCTTCATCATCTGGGAAGACTTTGCTCTACCGATGATGCGGCCTGGAGACGTTCTGTTCGGGGGAATGCTGTGTGGGATCTGTTTCTCGGTGGTATCCATTGTGTTCGACTCGATTTTAGACGGAGTGGCTGAACTGGAACTGACTGGGCTCATGAGATATCTTGTTGCCAGAGAGAACTGGAGGACATTCACAGAGCATGAGGATGCAATCATCATGAAGACGTTCTACTTCAAAATCCTCAACAAATATTTCGCGCTCATCATGATCGCGTTTGGGGTGAACTTTGTCGATTGCTTTGGAGGACCTTGCCGATGTCCACACTGGCAGTGCATGCCTGTTCTAGAAGTCGTCTATATCTCGATCCTCACAACGGAGCTGGTCTGGGGGGCCAGTGTTGCCTACTTGTTTCCTCTGATCAACAAGTATTTCGACAACTTGCGCAGGTACAAGAGATGATTTGTTTTCGTTGAGATCCCTTGGAAGGCATTGACAATTGGCTGTGCCAGTCCAAACACGGCAAATCAGGGGAAAGTGCACTTGACTCCGCAGGAGGAGCAGTATGAATGGCTGGTCCCGAATCCAGGTGGGCTGGTGAAACAGATATATTCATTTCACTGACTTCATTTCGCTCCGTGCAGTTATCGACTTTTACAAGGACAGGGTGTACCAGTTCGGCTACATTTCCTTATTTGGCATCGTGTCTCCTTTCATGTCCTTCGTGTGCCTGATATCGTCGCTGGTTGACCTTCGTTCAAAGGCGCGTTTACCTTGTCCTGCCCAACACCCCCGAGCTGATCGTCTATCAGGCCCTTCAACTGCTGACCAAGAATCGACGACCGGACGCGATTACTGCTGCTGACATAGGCTCTTACCAAGTTGTCTTGGACACATTATCAACCCTCTCCATCATCACAAACGCCGGTGTGGTGGGTGTTTGTAGCTTCTCTCTGTACTTCTACTTCCCGACGATGACTGACGTAAGTCTCTGATGAAGAGTTTTCTTCGATCTTGCCCTCAATTCTCCTCTTGATCCACCCGTTCGACAGGTCGACTGCCTGTGGGCAACAGCCGTTCTCGAGCACTTGCTGATAATCTTCAAGATCTTCATCTCAAGTTACATCCCTGAGGAATCAGAGAAAGCCAAGCAGGAATGGGAAGTCCAGCAGGAGAAGAAGCTTGCGGCTCTTGACAACTGGAACATCAAGGAGAACGAGATCGAAGACCCAACGCCATGGTAGACAAGCGAACAGCGAGCAGACTGTCTAGCTCTCTCCCTCCTCACGGCTGATGGAATACTTGGTAAGCTCCATCTCTTCGGAATTCGCCCCCCGGAGTTTGATACCGACAAGACTGAGGGTCCAAGACAAGACCTCATAGAGCTTCGCTCGCACGGCTGTGCTCATACCGTAGACCAGAAAGTTGAAGAAGCCCTGCATGGAGCCGAAGAACTTGTGCAGGAAGTAGAGAGCGAAGATGGGCTCATCAGGATGCAGGGAGTTGTAGATCCTGTTACTGTCTCCAGCAGGTTAGCGCTGTCACACAGGAACAAGAAGGAAATGAAGACAGAGAACTTACATAGTGCCAAAGAACCAGCAGATGATGAGGATGACAGGGTACAAGGCGAGCCGCCAAAACACTTGGAGGTCTGTGTTCGCCTGCCGCAAGCTCACACAACGCCTCTATTGCAGAAAGACCTACCTGCGAATCATCCTGCGTTGACAACACGAGTCCGCGGAGATGGAAGATGAGAGTACTTATGTTCCACACGTTGTATCCTATCACAATCCAGAGAGGGATGTAGAACTGCCGACCAGTCAGTTTGCAACATTGGGAACACGCCGTCGAAACCTGCACGAATCTCAACACAGGCGCTGTTGACAGGATCCAGCATGCACCATACTCATACCCTACAACATCATGGTGTCACATCGACCCGAGCTGTCAACCAACACCTTGTTTACCATAGGACTTGGAGAAGAGGGGCAGGAGGAAAAGGAAAAAAGGTATCCCCCATGCTATTGCGTGGTATCTGCTCAACATCGTCATTGCCTGATCGGGATACTCGCAGCATCTCTACCTCATCTCGTAACGCTGGACGTCTCCATCCCGATAACGGATCGCACGGACAAGACAGTGGGCGATACATGCAGTCCACAAGACCGACGACAGGTCGAAGATGGAAACTATGAACGACTGCAGTAGACACACCCCACCTGCCGATGCAGCAATTCAAAAATACACAAGGAAAACCGACGATACAAGTAGGTTGCCGAAGATACAAGACAAGAGAAAGATCACTTGATGCGACATCAATAACAAGATCAAAGGATCAACATTCCAAAGTCTCTCAGCACAAGTTGAACATCTTCCACTTCCTCCGCGCTCACAAGAGTCCTCGTGTGGTTGAATGAAGTCACCAAACGAAGCAAGGGCATCACTCAGTGACAGGAAAGCTACCTGCGCACAGATTGACCATGTCAGTGACAACCATACAGCCATGACCCTCCCTCCACAGCCCTTATCCAATGTCCCTCTCCCAGCAAGTACCAGTTTGAAGGCGAACTTTCGGAGGGAGGGAAAGGAGAGGTACGTGATAATGATCAGAGAGCTTCCTATGAAGGACAGAGAGCTGCCTGTCTGCTCTGCTGCCCGCAGCTTCCCCGCATCTTGTTCGCTCCATCCCCCCCCCTTGGACTCCCCGCAGCCCATGGGGGAAATCTATTATGTATTCCCCATTCTTTTTTTGTTTTTTTTCTTGATCGAGTCCGCCTCAACTGCTATTTGTTTTTTGAATGCGTAAAAGTTTTTATTTTTGATTTTCGAAAGGAATGGCGAGATGGGGAGCGCTACTGGTCGCTTGTGCGCTCATGCAGTCGGCTCCTTCGGCACAGGATGGCGTGAACTCTCCGCATTCTCTTCGTAGTCCTGATCAGATTCCTCTTCCAGCAAGCTCAGCAAGCTCAGCTGGCTTCGTGGAGGGGATGAAGCCGAGAGAGCTTCGAGGATGGATGAAGAGGATGGAGAATGAGCTGCGAGAGATGAAGAAGGAGTTGTGCGTGAAAAGAGAGGCAACAAGTGTCTTGGATGAGCTTCAAATGTGGAAGAATTATACCGAGGAGATGCTTGAATTGAGATCGATACAAGAGAACTTCTCAGAGTTTTTGAATGAAACCACCGAAGATTACGCAACATTGCTGGACAACTTTGAAAGAGAACAAGCAAAATTCGAGCAAGCGAGGAAGGATTTGGAAAAAACGGGTGGAGAAATTGGTCAGGATGTGGACAAAGTGTTCAAGAGCATAGAAGAAGCTCAAGCCATGATATCAGATTACCTGACAGAGGTCGAAGCGACCAAAGACGATCAAGGTGAAGTCGGTGGCAATGATGTTATGCTGGATGAAACACCGCCGAAATCATATGCACCAACAGATGATCCCTCATTCGATAGATAAAAATCCTTCCTCATGCTCTCTTTCTCTTCTTATCGATGTGTAAATAGACTCTATTCATAATTTTATTAAATTCTTTCATCGCAGGTCAAGAAATGAGGTGGTTGTAGATATGTTGGTCTACAAGAAGAGAGAGCAGATGTCCTGTTGGAATTATGCTTGTTTGTTGGAACTGTGCTTGTTTGTTGGATCTTTCCTTCTTGTTCTCATTGCATGTCATACAATCTTGTCTTGCTGGTCATTGCTTCCTTCCGATCATGACATCACATGCACGGAGGCCGGCAGGGGTCATGATGAATAAGGGTGGGTGGGTATCCCAGGGGTACTTGTAGTAGGGGTACGAAAGTAATTTCACAGAACAAATCTCAAAGGAATTTATCAGGGTAGGGTCATACTTTTGTCAAAAGGTTGGGTAGGTAACGAATTGAGGGGGGTGAGGTTGGGAAATTGGGCACACACAGCATGGGCGAAGAAGCATGGTGGGAGGAGGTGGGGAAGATGAAGGAAGAGAGGGAGAGGATGAGGAAAGAGCTTCAGGTAAGAGGGACAAAGATAGTCTCATGCTCCTCCCGCCCCTCCTCTCACCTCGTCCATAGGATGCGAGGCAAAGAGTCGGCGGCGATATGTCGAAGGAGGACCATGGAAGCGATGAAGAGGATGGGGCAGACCTCGGAAAGGATCGGACCACCTGTCTCCTCATCGGCAACCACTCAGCGGGGAAGTCATCGTTCGTAAGTCACCTGCTTGCGTTGTTGACCTCTCACCTGCGACCTCGCGCCTTCCTCCTCGAGCGTCTCTCTCCACCGCTTCCTCCTCCACTACAATCGTGCTCCAGCCGTTGATGCCATGGCGTCCTTATGACCGTCCTCGTCATGTGACGAGCTCGTCCAGGTCAACTGGTATGTGGGAGAGAAGGTGCAGGTCGAGAGCGTCGCCATGGAGACAGCCGGGTTCTGTCTCATACGCAAAGGAGGTAAACGAGCGCGATGGAAAGGAAGGCAGACGAGCAGCGCGTTTCCGTGGCTTCGACGAGCTGCGGTGAGAGAGCATGAGAATCGAGGGGGGGAGAAGAGAGAGAGAGATCGCGCGAAGGGGAGGGGGAGGAGGGGAGGAAGGAGGATCTGGAGGGGGAAAAGGACGAGAGAAAGGAGAGGAGAGGAGAGGAGGAGGAGAGGAGGAGGAGAGGAGAGGAGGAGG